CTCCCTTCCCTTCCCTGCAGAATTTCAGTCCAAAGGCTGCACTGCCCCATGGCTCCAGGGGCGCCTCTCCCATTGCTGCCAGCCAGCGGGGCCATACCCTGGCTCTGCTGCTCCTGGCGAGGGGCTGGTGGCTGTCAGGCCGGGGTCCTGGCTGAGCCGAGGTGGATGCTCAGGGAGCAGGCCAGGGAAGCGGCCGTGCGGCTCAGGAGAAGGGCTAAGGACTTCAACGCCGTCAAGAACTGGTCCTGGATGAAGCTTTTCTTCAAGATCAAGCCGCTGCTCCGGTCGGCTCAGACGGAGAAGGAGATGGCCACCTTGAAGGAGGAGTTCCTGAAGCTGAAGGAAGCTCTGGAGAAGTCCGAGGCGAAGAGGAAGGAGCTTGAAGAGAAGCAAATTACCATGATCCAGGAGAAGAACGACCTGTCGCCGCCGTCAAGAACTGGTCCTGGATGAAGCTTTTCTTCAAGATCAAGCCGCTGCTCCGGTCGGCTCAGACGGAGAAGGAGATGGCCACCTTGAAGGAGGAGTTCCTGAAGCTGAAGGAAGCTCTGGAGAAGTCCGAGGCGAAGAGGAAGGAGCTTGAAGAGAAGCAAATTACCATGATCCAGGAGAAGAACGACCTGTCGCTCCAGCTCCAAGCGGTGAGCCCCGGTGCAGCTCCGTGGCGGGGCGGGGCGGGCGGCGAGCGTGGCGGAAGCCAGGGGCCGGCCCCATGTAGAACCACGAGCCAGAAACAGCCCTGAGCTGGGAACCCCTCCCCCTCCTTCTGGCCCCTTGTGCCCCGCACTGGGGAGAGGGTGGCGCCAAGGAGTGAGCTCCGGAAAGGAGAAGTGCTGGGCCAGTGCTTGGTCTGGCCCAGGCCAGCAACGGCCCGTGCTGAGCGAGTGCCCCTTGTGCCTGGGCAGACGGGGGGTCGATGGGCCACTGGGCAGAGGTGCCCCACCCACACGGCCCGGCACGAGCATGTTTCCTTGTGCGCGCTCCAGGAACAGGACAACCTGGCCGATGCCGAAGAGCGCTGCGACCTGCTGATCAAAGCCAAGATCCAGCTGGAGGCCAAGGTGAAGGAGCTGACGGAGCGCCTGGACGACGAGGAGGAGATGAACGCGGACCTGACCTCCAAGAAGCGCAAGCTGGAGGACGAGTGTGCCGAGCTGAAGAAGGACATTGACGACCTAGAGATCACGCTGGCCAAGGTGGAGAAGGAGAAGCACGCCACAGAGAACAAGGTAACCGGCTCGCCGGGCGCCGCTGCCCCAAGGTGAAGGAGCTGACGGAGCGCCTGGACGACGAGGAGGAGATGAACGCGGACCTGACCTCCAAGAAGCGCAAGCTGGAGGACGAGTGTGCCGAGCTGAAGAAGGACATTGACGACCTAGAGATCACGCTGGCCAAGGTGGAGAAGGAGAAGCACGCCACAGAGAACAAGGTAACCGGCTCGCCGGGCGCCGCTGCCCGGTACTGCGGCCGGGCTCTCCCGGCTTCCCGGAGCGCCGGGGTGAGCGCTGGAGTCTCAGCAAGGATGGACATCCCGGAAGCAGGCGCCACACTTTCTGAAAGAGCAGTGAGCCCTGGACTCAGGGCGTCGCCCAGTCTGTGCTGCGGGACATGGGGCTGCAGCCACGCCACGGCATGGCCTGGGGCAGCTGCTGGGAGCACGGGGACAAGGCCTGGCACCCGAGTGAGCAGCGGGGCAGAGGCGGCGCAGGCGATGATGCTGGTGGGGAGGGAGGCAGGGGAGGCGATGCCGGTGGGGGGGTGATGTCGTGTTCTAGGGGTTCGCTCTCCCCCGTCTCCGGGGAGCTGAGGTCTCTTCTCCGCCACCGACTTAGGTGAAAAACCTGATTGAAGAGATGGCGGCGCTGGACGAGATCATCGCCAAGCTGACGAAGGAGAAGAAGGCCCTGCAGGAGGCGCATCAGCAGGCCCTGGACGACCTGCAGGCTGAGGAGGACAAAGTCAACACACTGACCAAGGCCAAAGTCAAACTGGAGCAGCAAGTGGATGATGTGAGTAACGTGGGTGCAAAGACCAGCGACAGCAGCCCCATTGTACCGATGGGCCCCGCGCCCCCGGGGAACCGGCACAGGGCCCCACA